TTTGAATTTGTTAAAAACTACAAATGGACTTTAAAAAGTAACTTTTTCCTAATTATAAAAGTACTGCTTGCACATTTTAGAAATTCAGAAAATACAGAACAATACAAAGAAGAAAATAAGAATAACTTATAAACTAATCATGTGGTTTAAATCCTAAAAGGTATTAAATGTTAATTTTTGGTTCATTCCCTTCCTGATTGCTTTAGTCATTCTCTGCTCAAAACACCTAGACTGTTTTCTGTTTTCCGCACAGATACAGCATCTATTTATCTACAGTAATGTTCTGTGTATTTTTTAACTAAACGGTATCATACTCTATGTGTTGTTTTATAACTTGCTTTTTCCTTTCAGCTTGGGATTTGCAGCTCTTTTAAGTATGTATAAATATACCTCATTCATTTTCCCAACTTTGTATTTTGGAAAAATTCAAATGTATAAAAACAAGCAGAGCTAGGCGTGGTGGTTCACACCTGTAATCCTAGCACTTTGGGAGGCTGAGGTGGGCAGATCAGGAGGCCAGGAGTTCAAGACCAGCCTGCCCAACATGGTGAAACCCTGTCTCTACTAAAAATACAAAAAAATTAGCCAGGTGTGGTGGTGCATGCCTGTAATCCCAGCTACTCGGGAGGTTGAGGCAGAAGAATTGCTTGAACCCAGGAGGCAGAGGTTGCAGTGAGCTGAGATTGTGCCATTGCACTCCAGCCTGGGTGACACAGCAAGGCTCCGTCTCGGAGGAAAAAACAAAAAACAAGCAGGAGGCTGGCATGGTGGCTCACGCCTGTAATCCCCAGCACTTTGGCAGGCCCAGGCAGGAAGATTTCTTGAGGCCAGGAGATCGAGACTAGCCTGGGCAACATAGCTAGACCCCATCACTATTAAAAAAACTAAAAATAAAAAAATTAGCTGGGTATGGTGGCACACACATGTAGTCCCAGCTACTCAAGAATCACTTGAGTCCAGGAATTAGATGTTACAGGGAACTGTGATCGCACTACTGCACTCCTTCCTGGGCGACAGAAAAAGACCCTCTCTCAACACACCAACACACATAAAAGCAAGAATAATACAACGATTACCCACATATCCTTCATCTAGATTCATCACTGTTAATATTTTGCTACATTTGCTTTCTCTCTTTAGCTTTGCTGAGTCATTTCAAAGTTACCTGCGGACATCCTGATACTGCAGCCCTCAATACTTCAGTGAGTATCCCCTAAGAACAAGGGCGTTTCTCTACATACCCATAATACAGTTATCACACTCAGGAAGTTTTACATTAACATACTACTGTTATCTAACATCGAGTTCATATTCAAAATTCCCTCACTTATCCGAGTAATGTCTTTCATGGCTGTTGTTTTATCCCCAATCTGGTATCTTGTAAAGATTGTGCATTGCATTTAGTTGCCATGGGTATTTAGTCTCCTTTATTCTAGGACAGCCTATCCTTTCCTTTTTTCTTCTTGTCTTTTAACTTTCATGACACTGACTTTTTTTTTTTTTTTTTTTTTTTTGAGACAGAGTCTTGCTCTGTCACCCAGGCTGGAGTGCAGTGGCGAGATCTCAGCTCACTGCAACCTCTTCACCTCCCAGGTTGAAGCAATTCTCCTGCCTCAGCCTCCCAGGTAGCTGGGATTACAGGCATGCACAACCACGCCTGGCTAATTTTTGGTATTTTTAGTAGAGATAGGGTCTCTATGTTTGCTATGTTGGCAAGGCTGGTCTCGAACTCTTGACCTCAGGTGATCCACCCACCTTGTGCTGGGATTACAGGTGTGAGCCACCATGCCTGGCCAACATTGACATTCTTGAAGAGTCCTTATCAGTTGTTTTTGTTTTTGTTTTTTTCTTTTCCAGAATGTCCCCTATTTGGATCTGGATTACACAAGTTTGACATTTTTTGGCAAAAATCTTACCTAGGTAGTGTGTCTTTCTCAGTGCATCACATCAGGCAGCTTATGGTGCCAATTTGTCCCATGGTAAGTTTTTTTTTTTTAATCTCTGTGGGTACATGGTAGGTGTATATGTTTGTGGGGTACATGAGATAGTTTGATACAGGTATGCAATGTGATCATGGAGACACATGGGGTATCCATCCCTTCAAGCATTTATCGTTTGTGTTACAAATAATCCAATTACACTCTTTTAGTTATTTTAAAATGTGCAATTCAGTTATTATTATTATTGACCATGGTCACCCATGGTAAGTTTAATCACTCAGTTATGGACCTTTCTCCATTGTAAAGGTCCTGCTTGTAATTAATAAGTAATCTGTGGAGTGATGATACTTTTAGACTGTGTAAATATTCCTCAGAATTTCAACCAATAATTTTAGCATCCATTAATGATTCTTTTCAGAATTCATGATTACTATAGTATCTGCAAAATGGTTATTTGGTATTACTCTCTATTACTCCTTCTAAATTTATTAGTTGCCATTCTTCTGTAAATCAGGCTTTCTTTTCTCCTTTCCCACTTTTTTTTTTTACTTTTTTAGTGACAGTACAGATTCATGGAGTCGTTTTCAAATCAATATCTAAAATCCATTTCTGTAATTGATCATTTTGATGTCTATATTGTCCCTAATTTGGCCAGTAAAACTCTCTGCAATGGCTTCTGTATTCTCTTGCTACATCGCCATCAGCTTTTTGACCTTATTTTACTTTCTGTTACAGTAAGATGTTTCAAGCTCACTTTATGTTTTTGTTTCTCCAGACCCCTGGAATCAGCCATTTCTTCAAGGCCCTATTTTTGTTTGTTTGTTTGTTTGTTTGTTTGTTTTAGTGGGGAATGATGTTGAGAAACCACAATTTAGGTATCAGTTGTGTTCTTTGCCACAGGGGTGTCATTGCTTCTAGGCTTTCTCAGAGGATAAAGCTAAGACATACGTCTTAAAAAGCATGAGTTCGGTCAGGTGTACTGGCTCACACCTGTAATCCCAGCACAATAAGGGAGGATTGCTTGATCCTACGAGTTTGAGACCTGCCTGGACAATGTAGTGAGACTTTGTCTCTACAAATAATTTTAAAAATTAGCCAGGCATAACGGCATGCACCTGTAGTCCCAGCTACTTGGGAGGCTGACGTGGGAGGATGGCTTGAGCCCAGGAGGTTGAGACTGCAGTGAACTATTAGCACACCACTGCACCCCAGGCTGGGCAACAGAGCAATACCCTGTCTCAATAAAAAAATTTAAAATAAATAAATAAATAAATAAATAAATAAATAAGTCATGAGTTTGCACTGATACCTTTAATTCCAATCCAACATCCCAGGCGGCTGCTTCTTCCCTCACTTCATATTTCCTACCATTACAACTCTGGATGGACCCCCAAAAACTTCAATGTATTTACTTTTTTGCACAATCCTATAAAGTGGTTTTAGAATTGTTGTACCAATATTATCACCACCAACAAACCTACTAAAGTTTATAATTTCTTTGCATTTTTAAAAGCTAGTAGTGTTTTATTTCTTTCACAAAAAAATCTTAAAATAAATGTGGCAAAATGTTCATATTTGTCAATTCTGGATGATAATTACATGAATGTTAGTCATACTATTCATTCTTTTCTTTTTAAAAAATTGTTATTGAAGTATAGAATGCATACAGAGAAGTGCATTTATATTAAGTGAAGAGCTAAATGAATTTTTACTAACTGACATATGTGTATCTGTGTGTGTGGTGCTTCTCTATGTAGATATACAAAAATATAGTTGTTGTTTTCTAGCTTGTGTAAATTTTAAGACACATTACTAAATAGTACTCAAAGTGATTGTACCAGTTTGTTCTCTTAAATAGAGACTGTTTGCCTACAGGCACGACAAAATGGAATATCAAATAACTTTACTTTTTGCCAATCTAGTGGATGAAATATTAGTTTCCTATTGCATTTCTCTTGTAGAGGTAATTTTTTTTTTGTTCAGTTATTGGCTACTTGTTTTCATCTTAAAGTGAATTGCGTGCTTATTTCATTGTTTTTCTATTAGATTGTTAGTCTCTTTGTTTTCCACTTTAATACTATCTAATTTAACATTATGATATTTGTCTTGGGTATGATATTTGTCAAATGGTTGCCCATTTTTATGGTGATTTCTTAGTTATATACTAAACACGGGATGGATTATTCATGAGTTTTTCGGAAAGGAGTGGGGGTGGGCAATTCCCAGAGCTGAGGGCTCCTCCCCTTTTAGACCATATAGGGTAACTTCCTGATGTTGCCATGGTGTTTGTAAACTGTCATGGCACTGTTTGGAGTGTAGCAGTGAGGGTGACCAGAGGTCACTCTCATCTCCATCTTGCTTTTGGTGAGTTTTGGCTTCTTTACTGCAACCTGTTTTATCAGCAAGGTCTTTATGACCTGCCTTTTGTGCCGACCTCCTATCTTATCCTGTAAGTAAGAATGCCTAACCTGCTGGGAATGCAGGCCAGCAGGCCTCAGCCTTATTTTACCCAGCCTGTATACAAGGTGGAGTCGCTCTGGTTTAAACGCCTCTGACATTTCCCCCATCCCTTTTATAAGAGAACCCTTAATCCTAAGGGTTGTAGAGAGATGAAGGTCCATCTTTTGTAACTTCTGGAGGCTGAATGGGGCGATGATATTCCTGCCTAACTATTAGGGTCTCAGATCCAGGGTAGAGAGGAGTTCAGTCAGAGAAAGTCTCAGTATGGTGAGGGCCATTCATAACTCTGACTAAAGGCAATATAACTAGTTTCCAGATTTTGGAGAAATTAGGTAAAGAGAAACAAACATGCTTCACATTTTGTTCACAGGAGCATAATTTACTCAATTGTTGAAAGCTGTCAATAGCTCAAAAGAAAAGTTTCCTTGACTCCAAAGTTGGCCAGTCAGTGTTGTTCTATTTCCTTTGGGTCAGGGGTCTCCTTAGTATCATCCCTTCGCGGTTGCCATAAAGATGTTACCAGAAAGCAGTCCTAAACCAGACCCCAAGAGAGGGTTCTTGGATCTCACATAAGAAAGAATTCAAGGCGAGTCCATAGAGTAAAGTGAAAGCAAGTTTATTAAGAAAGTAAAGGAATGAAAGCATGGCTACTTCACAGGCAGAGCAGCCCACCTCCCTTTTCTGTTGGAGAGCTGGTGGTTAAACTTTTATTAGCACACCACTGGCTGAAGGCGGCAAGCTAGTAGCCCCAGGCCAGATAGGTACCATTGACATAGTTTGTTTGACCCACATGATATTAATTAAAACAAACAGACAAAAATGCTGAATGGCATGCCACATTTACAAATTGTGAGAATTCACATAACAACCTGGAATACCTCATTCTCTTGAAGGATCAGATCTGGCCCCATCAGATTTTCCCATGGCAGCACTCAGTGGGAGCTGAGCCACTATAGAGCTTCAGGTGGGGCGTGCACCCTTACTTAACCACCATCCCACCACTCCCTGTTGTCCCCCAAACCCTGCAGCTAAGTGCCAAATGCCTTTTATCCCCATGCCTGTGCTGTGGATTTTCTCTGCCCATTCTTCATCCCACAGCAGCACAAACTGAACCATACTTTTAGTCCAGAAATCTGAAACCTCAGGCTTGATTTATAACTAAATTAGTTTTCCTTTTCTATTGATTTAAGTCCCATTAACTCACAAGTATTTCTCAAAAGACTCACTTAAAACGTATGTGAAAGGGCTTTGAAACTATTAAAAGCTACCAAATGGAAGATATTTATAGGAGGCATATACTTTCTAATATCATTTAATTTTATACTTTATTAATAAAAATTATTAAAATTCAATTTGTTATATTTTCAGTAACTAATGACAGTGAATATATTACTAATCTTTTCACTTGTCTTTTCTTGCTTTCCTTTCTCCTCCTTTTTCCCCCTTTCCTTATCTTTTTCTATCACTTTAACATTATCTGAAGTACAATGTCAGTAATGAGGTCACATTTTTCTATTAAAATTAATACTTCGGTCTTTGTTTTGGCCTAATTTAAACACTGACATGGACCCATGCTAATTAGCCTGAATGGCTAAGTCCCCCACCAATTAAGCAAATGTAGAAATTGCAGGTTATTTCAGTTACTCTATGTTAAGGTTAAGAGGAAAAAAAAAAAAAAGTGATGTATGTGATCTAAAGTCATTAGCCCCAGGACATCCTGTTAAGTCATGGACTATTTCTTATCATTATGGCATCATGAATGCAATAATGTTTCAAATTCATTCCACTCCAGGTTTAGACGTTTGTATCACAATTGCAGTGGATTTTTTTTTTTTTTTTTTTTTTTTTAGATAGAGTTTCGCTCTTGTTGCCCAGGCTGGTGTGCAATGTTACAATCTTGGCTCACTGCAACCTCCGCCTCCCAGGTCCAAGTGATTCTCCTGCCTCAGCCTCCGGAGTAGCTGGGATTACAGGCATGTGCCACCATGCCTGGCTTATTTTGTATTTTTAGTAGAGACAGGGTTTCTCCATGTTGGTCAGGCTGGTCTCAAACTCCCGACCTCAGGTGATCCGCCTGCCTCGGCCTCCCAAAGTGCTGGGATTACAGGTGTGAGCCACTGCGCCCGGCCATTTTATAAAACTCACAGTCCCAAGACCTCTGAAATCAATTATTCTCTACTTAGAGGAATTCCAAGCAATTTCACAAAATGAAACAGAAAAAAATTAAGGCAGTATTTTGAAAGAAGATATGTTTCTTCTAGGGTCACCTCCTAGGAGGAGCTCCACTAATCAGTCTCTAGGGTGTATTGTTTTCTCCATTTCTGACGGGATGTTTCCCTACAGGCTCCTAGTTGCAGAGACCAAGCCTAGCTGCCTCCCAAGACATGTCCCTGGATGGAATCAAGTTGGTTTTCGGGTTTCTTTTTCTTTTGTTTTTCAAAAGTGCGCTGGCCGTTGGGCACAGAGCAGAACCGAGAGCTGGTTATTGGTGTGTGTGGCTGTGTTGCAAATGGAGCCTGCAGAGAGAGGCACAGTTGTGGGTAGGGATACCTATCTCATGGCCTTATTTCCAGATTCCTTCTGCAAATTATCCATCATTTGCCAAAGTTCCAGGCAGCTGGACGCAGTTATTATGTTAGTAAATAAATGTGACAACATAGCTTTTGTGGCTTGGCATTGGGAAGGTTTTAAAATAAGAAAAGTCAGGAAAGTTGTTGGCAATGCTGGTAACGTTTTCAATACTATATGATTTTAAGGACGAGTCCCTGTTGAAAAGAGCCATATCTAAGAATGAGATATACATACATGGCTGCCAGCCTTTGTGTAACCACATGGGCTTCTCTCTGGAGTCACTGTCCCCAGCACTATGGATGAGTAGGCTCTGCTCTGGGAAGGGATGCTTGGCCTCCATGTTGATGCGCAGCCTCTGCAGACCACAGATAGCCAGGTATTCAGTGGGGAGAGTGTTGGCGCTGCACAGGGAAAGCTTCAGGTCTTGGACCAGCGTGAAGTTCAGCAGGCGGCCCAGTGCAGATGTGTCCGTGAACCAGATGGTCAGATGGCCATTGTAGCTGGTTCGCCCCACCGCAAGGGGCAGGACAGTTTTACAGCTGCACATCAGGTTGGCCAAACTGTAGTCACAATCCCGGATGTCCGCAGAACAGCTGCAGTTCCGAATGGTGTTTTCCTTTGTGAAGATAAGCGTGCTGTTCTTCTGACCTTTGGTGAAGCAGTTAAGTGCAAAGATGCCCAGAGCGCTGATCAGAAGGAGACAGTGCCTGCGAGGTGGTGCCATGCTTGCCCAGCGTGGGCCAGCGTGTTTATCCCCCACCTTTGTGAACCAATTTGTTGGAACTCACCTGAAAGAAAACAGGCAGCTTTATCACAACCTTTCATTTGAAATACACAGTTTGTGGAAAAGGAACCCCAGAAAAAAACAAGTTGTAAACATTTCTTTCTCACTATTCTAGTAACTGTTTCTTGAGCGGCAGGCAATACTTGCAGCCCAGGCACTGGGAAAGCTCTTTTCTCAGCACCTTATCCAGAGACAGCAGCCAAACCTTTGAGCTCTGCTCATCTGAGGTGTAAAACTCCCAGTGATGTCGGCTGACAGTGAGACCAGCATGTCAACAACACAGCCAGAGCAATGCCAGAGCAGATGCCAGAGAGGAGACCTACCGCATCCTATCTACGGGCAGGGATTTGGAGTTGAGAGAGCACATTCTTCAAACATCCAATTACTAGTATCAAGTGCCCACAAACCCCTGAACATGCATATGCTTTCCTCCCCCTCAATATCTGACTTCCTGGAATTCAGGAGACAAACACTTCTTTGTTGGATTCAGCTATCCAAGCACTACCTATTACACAACATAGCATGAATACCAATGAAGCATTTAGTTAATGGTAAGCTTTAATTTCTAAGTAGATAAACATGCCTTCCATCCCCACTGTATTAATCTGTTTGTAGGTCCATTCATCCTTTTCAGGGCCTCCTACCTAATGTACCTAAGTAACTGTGGTAATAGACAACAAAAAGACTAATCACCCACTGATTAATCACAATTATTTTGATTTAGCTACTCTTATGCCAGAAGAAATTTATGGACTGATCTTGTCAATTGCAGGGCTCCAAAACAAAACCATATATAGGAACTTCTAAAAAATCTAGATAAGGTAGGGATGCATGGGTCATTTAAAGAGCAACACCAATGTCCAGTTTTGGGGGAAAAGCCCTACAGTGTCTGGCATATGACAGATGCAGGGTCCTCTTTTGTGGTGTGATTGGAATGAGATCTGAACATCATGGCAGAGCGTACCACATTTCAGTTTGACGAAAGTAATCGCATTCCCCCAATGACTGAAGAGAGAAACCAAACAATACAATTCAGTCCATCTCCATTTGCTGAGTTCCATGGGTGTGGTGGGATACTGGGCATGAGACCTCTGAGTGGGAGGGCCCAGAGCTACTGGCAGGACCACTACACTAAGGGTCAGGGAGCAACAGATGGAAGGGTCAGTCTGAGGATCTCAACATGTGTCCAAAGAGTATGGTGACAGCAGGGAAGAGGCTAGGCAGACAAGCAGCAATTAGGGTGTAAGACGAGGCCACAGGGCAATTAGAAATCCAAAGGAATCAAAGCTAAAAATGTCAGGGATCAGGTAGACAGGCAGGAGGCACAAGCCACAACCCCATGACTGGAATGCCAGGAGGATAGAAGTAAGCTCTGCCGCGTAAACTTGAACAGAGGGCAAGACATTGATTCACAGCAATTCTGACTGTATTCATGCATTTATCCCTCCCTTCCTCCCTTCCTTCCTTCCTTCCGTCCTTCCTTCCTTCCTTCCTTCCTTCCTTCCTTCCTTCCTTCCTTCCTTCAACTAATGCTTATTGGAAGATTACTAGGTGGCACGCCCTCTGCTAGCCATTAGGTTACAACTCAGAACAAGACAACCCAGGGCCCAGTCCTCATAGAACTTATGTCCTAACGAAATTCCTTCTGCTTCCAATGGGCTGGGCATCAGAGCCCAAAGCCAGGCCAGTCCTGCATGTGAGGACGGAGAGGCTGTAGCAGTGGGGAAGAAGTGGGAGGAGGGGGCAAATGCAGGAGTTGGGCAGGACCCAGCCTAGGCCATGTGCCAGGCCCTGGCTTAGGCCAAGCAGAAGAAACAAAGATACAAAAGACCTGGATCCTATCCTCCAGGATTTATCCTCAAAGGAAAAGACAAATAAGGCTGAACTGAGAAGCGCTGTACTGAACATACAGGCTGCTATGAGAACACAGCAGAGAGAGAGAGAGAGATTCGACGTGGGGGACTGGATAAGGCGCTTTATAGAGCTTTGTGTCTATTTTGAAGTTGGCACAGGATTTTCTTAAAGAATTTATTAATAGGTACATTTTGTCATGAAAGAAAGAGCTTTGAGAAACGTGGAGAACAAGAGTTCTCCCTGTACAAGAGGCTTAACAGTCTTAAGCAGTGTTAGAATGTGGGTGTGTCTACCCCGCTTAGTGAGCATGTGTTCTTGTTCTGGTCTTTGGGCTTCCTGATGTCCAGGAGGCAGGGACCATCCTGAGGTCCTGAGGAACGGTGAATAATTTATTAATTACAAGATAATTTTAGACAATCAGCTGTCCCAGATTCCACTGGAGGCCTCTGGGACTTCGTGTCCCAGTAACCCTGTCATCCCAGAACCAGGAATGCCGTCAATACCGTTGGCCCACCCTGACCCTAGCCTTAAAAGGAAAGAGAGGGGAGAGGTCTATTCATCAGCCCAGACTTACTGAGAAAAGTGCCTGCCTCCCTCTTTCAGGTGCCAATCCTGTTCAGGGGCAGCCATGGAGGAGGAAAAGAGATCAGAAGAGAAAAGGATATTGGTTTGCTGGAACATGTGGGACAAGAAGTTCCCAGAAGAATTTGTGAGCAACTTCCCAACAGTAAGGCCCTGGCTGGACCTCAGGATGGTCCTTCCTGGATATCAGGAAGTCCCAATGCCAGAACAAGAACACATGCTCAGGGGGAAGGCTCACTAAGAGGGCACCAAGTGGGGCAAATACCCTGGTAACCCGTTTATGGGGGCCGCCACAGAGATGCCAGTTGGATATTTTCCTCCTTCAGTCTACCATGAGTTTCTTTTTTCTTTTTTGAGATGGAGTCTTGATCTGTTGCCCAGGCTGGAGTTCAGTGGTACAGTCTCAGCTCACTGCAAGCTCTGCCTCCTGGGTTCCAGCAATTGTCTTGTCTCAGTCTCCTAAGTAGCCGAGATTACAGGCACGCACCACCATGCCCGACTAATTTTTGTATTTATAGTAAAAATGGGGTTTTGCCATGTTGGCCAGGCTGGTCTTGAACTCCTGACCTCAGGGTGATCCGCCTGCCTCGGCCTCCCAAAGTGCTGGGATTATAGGCATGAGCCACTGCACTTGGCTGTACCGTTCAAGGTTCTCTTTCACTGGGGTAAACACCTTGAGAGAACAGTTTTTGGGCTTTATATTCTCAGTTTCCCACACAGTGCCTAGCACATAGCAAGGACTCAACAAATTTCATTGAATGAATGAAAAAACATAGTTTACCAAATGACAGTGTACTCAAACTCTTTTAACTGCTAGCTATAGAAATCCAATTAAGACTGACTTGAGTAAAAAAAAAAAGAAACTGCTCACTTATTTGAAAAATTAAGGAAGGATTTCAGGCATGGCTTGATCCAGCTACTCAAAAAAAAGGTTATCAGAAATGTCTTTCCATCTTTCAGTTATTCTTTCTCATTTGTGGGTTTTATTCCCAGACAAGATCACTCCTTCTGGGGACAAGATGGTCACTAGTAGATCCAGGTTTACTTTCTATCAGCTGGGCAACCTCTCAAGAAAACAAACAAACAAACAAAAAACTCTTTTTAAATAGCACCAGGCTGCTGGGTGTGGTGGCTCATACCTGTAACCCCAGCACTTTGGGAGGCCATGGTAGGAGGATTGTGGGAAGCCAGGAGTTCAAGACCAGCCCAGCCAACATCATGAGACATAATCTCTACAAATAAAATAAATTAGTTGGACATGATGGTGCGCACCTATAGTCCCAGCTACTCGGGAGGCTGAAGCACAAGGATCACTTGAGTCTGAGAATTCGGTGTTGTTTAACCCACCCTGTTGTGGTATCTGTTATGGCAGCACAGGCAGAAATAGGGACACAAGTGCAGGTTCAGGGCAAGGTGTGTGAGCACACTCAGTCCCTGGCCTCGGCGTCTCTCTGGATAGCTTCTTGCCTAGGGTGACTGACAGAGGGAGGGATGATATGAAAAGGCACCTGTTCTTCTCATGACCTAACCCCAATTCTTACTCCACGGGTTCATGACAGCCAATTCTGCTGGAGACTGTGTCTTAAACCTTCCTCCCCTAGTTTCCCTCAAGTACCCCTCGTGAGCTGTGATTTCACTGGGCTTTGAAATCTTAGGCCATTTGAGGCTGCAGTGAGCTATGATTGTATCACTACACACTCCAGCCTAGATGACAGAACAAGACCCCCTCTCTAATAAATAAATAAATATGGCTGGGCGCAGTGGCTCAGGCCTGTAATCCCAGAAATTTGGAAGGCCAAGACGGGCAGATCGCTTGAGCTCAGGAGTTCGAGACCAGCCTGGCCAACATGGTGAAACCCTGTCTCTAGCAAAAATACAAAAATTAGCCAGGCAGGGTGGCACGTGCCTGTAATCTCAGCAACAGGGAGGCTGAGGCAGGAGAATCGCTTGAACCTGGGAGGCAGAGGTTGCAGTGAGCAGAAATTGTGCCACTGCACTCCAGCCTGGGTAACAGAGTGAGACTTTGCAACCAAATAATGATGATGATGATGATAATAATAATAATAATAATAATAATAAAATAAATAACCAAATAAGTAAATAAATAAATATTGGAGGCAAAAATACACTGGTCTCCTGAGTCGTACGCTCAGCTCAGGACCCAGTGAATGGGATCAGCCACACTGCAAACAGTGGACTGAGAAGGTAGAAGGATGGTTCTGCAAAGGGAAATCAGGAGGTACTATTAGAAAAGGGCCAGGTAGGCAGTCAGAAAAGTGGGTGCCCACAAGACCTGTGGGATGAGCGTGGGTGAGCATTGCAACTCTACTCCTCTCAGTCTCAGCAAACACCAAAGCACCACTTAGATAAAATGAACTCTAAGAGTGCAGATATATATCTGACTTTGTGGGATATATTCAGAATTTCAAATTGGTTCCTTTACTGGAAGGCCCCTCGTTTTTACCTCCCAAGAATCTTCAAGGATTTTTGCTGGGACACACGTTGGGGACTGCATTTGTGAGTGATAGCCCCGCTTACCTCTCCAAGTCCTGGCTTCACAGTGTGTTC